GTCTTCTGAGTCGCGCGAGCGACCTCTGGTGGTCAAGCATTGGCATGCAGCAGCAGCGGACGTATGACTTGGCTGCTTTCCTGCCCAGTAAATGGGATTTTCCGGTCACGTTGTTCACTCAATCTGTTCAATTGTCGCCGTCTGACGACTGGTTCGCTGGAGTGTGTAATCAGGTAGAGCATTCACGTCCCCCACCAGATACAAAGCTGAACCTTCATCGTCGAGTGGATTTGCTGTTTTGGCGTCGATCTACCCACTACACCGGGTTGAGTATTTGTAAATTTTACACAGCTTAGTCGACCGTCATAGGGTTGCGCAAGAAGTCCCTTCACTGCGTGTTGTCGGCGGAAGAGCAGTGAAGGCCGTGTGTTCGTTCGCTGACCTAGGTTGTGTTCGGTCAACACATGTGGGGAAATTCAACCAACTTGCAAGTTTATGAATTTTTCCCACTTGGTGGTGCAAACGCTTGGAAATAGGTGCTTGGGTGACTCCTGACTGAGCTGCTGCAAACTCTTGTTGCTCTCGGGTTGTCTTCATGCAACAGAGCTTGCCATTCCCTACGAATTATCGCGAATCTTAATAACACCTTTTGTTGTTGCTTTCCTAAGATGCTTAACACACTCCCCAAGATTGGGTTAGGTGGCAAGTGGTAAAAATCGTTCCCATCAACGTCAAAGTAGGACAGACGTTATGCGATGCTGGTCCGTTCTCCACGTGATGCTCTTGTCACTAGATAAATCTTTCGTGGTTATTTAATGGAATATGACTCCTTTGATTAGTTTCTACTGGCAGTTATCTTGAAAATTTAAGAGAATGTGGGGTTCCACTATTCCTGGTTTGAACTACTCAAATTTAATTCCACCCCTGATATAACACAGGCTTTCAGGTCTTCAGTAATCACGAACGGGACGTCTCAAATTTCACTAACTTGTTCGTTTACTTTCGCTGTTTTTAAGGACAGCGCGAGCGTTAGCAGCCCTTCCAAGTGTAGTAAGTGTGGACACTGCTGAGAATGCGCTGAGAAAGAGCGTTTTCTCGATGCACTACCGTCCGACGCTTCTTTGATTAATTAAGCATCTGATTGTTCGTGACTTGGCTCATTCGTTTATTCACCACATCAAGTCGCAGTCCCCCTAAACCCACGCTCTCTGTAATATTAATGCTTGACTGAAGTTAGCTTTTTTGTTTAAAAACCTCCTTTCGGTACGTGGATTTTCTGCTCCGGTGAGATTTATCGGGCAAATGGGTTGGGATTTGCTGTGCTACTGCGAATTCCGCTCTATCTCTGCTGCTGCTGCTGGCTCTCACATTTTTACGTATTTTCACGAATTACTGCATTTTCAGGTGGCACTAGACCACCTGGGTGTTTCCATCGACTCGAATTAGCACACTATGGGGCTGTTTTCGTCTTTCCTCTCACCTCTAAACTGTGCATCACGAGGGTTGCGACGTAGTAGCGAAAAAACAGACCTCTTTGTGCGCGACTTTTGCACTGTGATTCGTGACGTCTGGACCAGCAAGTGGCGTTGGCTCAGTTGTGGTCGGCTAATCGACGCTTCGGTCCACAGTTGGCTCCATCCACTTTCAAAGCATCGCCCTGTATATTGAAACCTGAGAAATTATTCCAGTTCCTCGGCGTAATTGATTGCCGTGACATCCGATTTGACCTATCTTTGTGGTCAAAAACTGCATGATTCTTCGTCCGACATGTATTTTCAAATACAACGGTGCCTGCAAGTCGGGTCTTTCAGAGGGCTGTCTACAAGACGGGACCTCAGGTCCCAGCACATTTTGCCTAATTGAGCCTCATTCACAATGTCTTGTTGTGAATCGTGTTTATTCACACCCCCTTAATCCGATCGATTCGCCTCCGATACGAGGCTCCCCTTCTCGCAGCATAGCGACAGCCGCGCAAATCCTCAACCCCCCCTTCATTCACACCACTATGTATCTTGGATTAACCTCACACCTAGATATCGATGTTAGCGCATCTATGACTCACCCATCCGAGGTATAAATACACACGCGCAAACCCCACTCTGGACACAACGACACCAGTTTTGGTTGAGCTCTGAAGTAATCGATTGTGTACCGTCATCTCCGGTCTTCTTCTTCACCGCGGGCATCAGGGAAGCGTAATTGGACCAGGGTTAATTCCGTGGCCCCGGCGTGGTCCTAGGACCATATGCTGGGGCCCACAACAGTCTCAGTTTATGGAAAAGGCAAATTTCGCTAGAAACTAGTAAAAAATCTCTCGTTACAGACATATCTATGTACTGAAATGGAATCGCAATTCCCGAACATAGCGAAATTGTTGAAACGATGGAATATTTATTGCCAGTTCCTGGTTACCTGAAGTTTGGCACATCAGGAAAATGGCAAACGTGGGGCATAGCAGCACCGATGTCTTCTTCTCTTTCCGTATCTGTTTCCGTCACTTTATTTCACCTACCAAACAACGTTCTCTTTCCCTCGTCAATTTTTTTCTGACAACCCGACACTTGCCTCAAAAATTAGTTTATTTGCTTGACATAGACCTCACTTTTTCGCTGTCCGAATTACCCTGAATAGCAAAGGCTCCTTAACAATCAGTGAAAGGCATGTGTTCATGCGCTCACCTAGGTTGTGTTCGGTCAACATATGTGGGGCCATTCAACCAACTTCCAATTTTTGAATTTTTCCCACTTGGTGGTGCAAATGCTTGGAAATAGGTGTTTGGGTGACTCCTGACTGAGCTGCTGCAAACTCTTATTGCTCTCGCGTTGTGTCTTCATGCAGTAGAGCACGCGTTCCAGCATCTTCAAACATTCAAGGCTGCTGTCACTAAGATCGAAATCATCACTTCTAACGAAACGTTTATACCAATTATTACACTTTTCATAAGACACAACGTCGGCAGCACCAAGACATCTACTAATTGAATTGCACGTGGCTCAAAAGCACTTTTTCCTTTCTGTAATTCGTATCGAACCTAGTGCCATCGAATAACTTCTAGTCTTGACCGTCCTCAAATACCACGTACATTCACCTCATGTTATTCAGCGTATCTGAAAGGCGGTAGGTGCCGAAATGTGGTTAGTTTCTTTGGCAACACGATGTGCCTGAGGCAGCAATGTGGTCTGTGATGTGTTTTTGACGCCCAGTCGCTCCTGTCGCAGCGGATTATACAACTCTTCAATACGGTATAATTTACCAACGTCCGAGGTATTGAACACGCAGACTTGGAGACTCGAGATGTTATCTTGCGCTGGGACTTGGTGAAGGTGAGGACATCACGCCAGTTGCATGAACGAAATGGCCTTCTCCCTCCACCTGACAAACTGGCGGGGGACGGCCGAAAGCAGCTTAGGTGGCAGACTGATCGCCTTAAGTTAATTCGCCTCAAGATATTCCCTCGCAATTAATTGAAAGGGCGTAGGGAGTAAAGATAAACTCACCAAGCGAGCGTGCGATATCGCATCTAAAAAGGGTCTATTTTTAGCGCCTGTTATGGTCTGAGTTCTGCAAGGTCGTTGGTTCGATGATTAACTGGCCCCAGGACGAATTGGATCCTAGAGTGAAAAAAAAACATTTGCTAATTTGCCCTTCGAAAAATCATCCTCATTTCAGGCCACCGCTTTAGCGACATTCAGTGCTCAATTTCCCGATATGTCAGCTTGCAAGTTTGCTTCAGAATTTCAAAAATGTCTGGAGTGCATTAGACAAATACCAGAAATGCGAGTTTGCAAACTATTGGGTGTGAGCCTTACTTTGCACAGGCTTTTTCTTCAGGCTTAAAATATTATTTAAAATAGAAATGTGTTCGTGGTCTTTCGTAGTTTTTGGACGAATCGGACACAAGTTTCTTGAACACATAACCTCCTGCGACAGCAGACTTCACGACGATGCCAATTGATAACCACCGCATTGGATGGCATTACGTTCTACGCGATTTCTAACAGGACTAAATTGTTGCTTATAAACCACAAGAGAAACAATTTGAAGTGTTCTTGGTGCTGCCGACGTTGTGTCTTATGAAACGTGGAATTATTGGTACAAACGTTTTAGAAGTGATGATTTCGATCTTAGTGACCAGCTGTTCACCAGAAAGCAGCCTTGAATGTTTGAAGATGTGGAAATTGCAAGATTTGCTGCACGAAGAGTTTGCAGCAGCTCAGTCAGGAGTCACACAAACACCTATTTCCAGTGCATCGACGCCAAAACAGCACATCCACTTGACGATGAAGGTTCCACTGTGTATCTGGTGGGGTCATGAATGCTCTACCTGATTACAAACTCCAGCGAACCAGTCGTCAGACGGTGCCCGCGGAACTCCATAGCCGGCAATTGAACAGACTGTGCGAACAACGTGACCGGAAAATCCCATTTACTGGGCAGGAAAGCAGGCAAGTCATACGTCCGCTGATGCTGCTGCTGCTGCTGCTGCATGCCAGTACTCAACCTCTTGAGGTTGCTCGCGCGACTCAGAAAACCCCCTTGAATTTGGGATGGGAATTTTTCCCACACGCGGCATGTTTACCAGACCTGGTCCAATCCGACTTCCATTTGTTCTGGTTAATACAACAGCAGCACGCCCGAGTGGTTAAACAGTTCAAAACGCAGGACGATGCGCGTAAATCAGTCGATGATGACTTGATTGCCTCGAAGCCTGCGACGCCATTTGTGCGCTACCTGGGAGATGGCGCAAGGTCATGGAAAACGATGGACAATATTTGCAAGGTTGAGTTCATTGTTCTTCACTTCTTATATGAATTAACTATGCTGAAGAACCTATGCAAACTAAGCCATATACCTAATCGTCACATTATTTGGATTACAGTAAAACGTTACATAAACGTTGTAGACTGATTGTGAGTTATGATAGATGGGGAGATTCCATATGCAAATATCTGCAAGACATTTATGTGGGCGGTTGGTAATAGGTATTTGCAGGCACCAGAGTTTAAGTCTAACGACCTTGCGTAGTTTGACCAAACGTGACCCCTTCTAAGACGTGACACGACCTCAACTGGGCTTCTGATTTGACGAAGCAGCTGGGCAAGCTGTCAAATAAAAAGCAAATTTTTAACCTAATCAAGATCGATGTAAGTGAATAGCTGCAAAATCGCCTCCCTACTTTGTGGGGTAAATTTATATTAGCAAAAGTAGTTTTAATTCGACTTCTAGCCGTAATAATCATACTTCAAATTTCTTCACTCAAAGCACAACTCGGCTTTTCATCCACGTGAGAAATAAAAAGGCTTTCTCGGTTATTGGGCTTGTAAAATTTCTTTGCCTTTAGTAATTGTCAGCACTTTACGTGATTATACTTTGTAAGGCAAACCATCTACACAGTAAATTTTACATTGGCTCCTAGCATTACCTGTTCTGGATGTAAGCCAATGAACAATTAAAAAAACTAGTCTCCTGGCCAAACCCACGCAGTATTTCAGCTCAACGATTGAAGGTGAATGAAACCAACCAGGTGTCTAGTCTTTTGGGATCGCCAGGTGTGTTGTTAGTCGTAAAATGTTGTCCCAAGTCGATGCACCACGTCGCATTTACTGGCCCGATTACAAGTTAGATAAGCCGTGACAAGACGCTGTTTACAGCGAGCTCTAATTAGTCATTAGCCTGGTAGGCTGTGACAAGTGACATGTGTTGCCAATGTGAGGCCTAAGTCGAAGGCGTGTTGATGAACCAGTGTCAGTTCTAGAGCCGATATATCACTTCAACACATATCAGCGGTTGTACTGGGCCCCAGCATGTGGTCTTGAACCACGCGGGGGCCACGGATACCCTCGATGAAGAGAAAGACCGGAGAGGACGGGACACAACCGTTAACCTCAGAGCTCAACCTCGTTGGTGTCGTGAGTGGAAGTTGCGCGTGTGCATTTATATCTCGGACGTGTGAGTCATACATGCGCTAACATCGAGATCTAGGTGTGGGGGTACTCCAAGATAAGTATTTGTGCTAATGAAGGGGAAGTTGAAGACTCGTGCGGCTGGCGACATGCTGCGACAAGGAGAACCCGGTGTAGGAGGTGGAGCGACCGGATTTAGGGGTTGAATAAACACGTATCACAACAATTTCTATCGGATCCATAAATATGTTTAGTACCAATTAACTTAAGTCAATTCTCCTTCGCCACAGCAGTAGAGGCTTGTTGGAATAGGTAATTTTGTTTTCGTGACAAAAAAAATATTCACCGTGCTATAATCCTCAAACTTGTGTTTGGCTTCGCGTCAAACGCATATGCTTTGAATACTGGGTCAAACTATTCCACAATAAGAACTATGAAGTTTCGGTAATCCTCGATATTGAAATCTTCTGGAGAATGTTTCTACCAAACAGGACAGTAATGATTATCTTTACTTCGGCCCTACCACCTCCGCCCATGCATAGCCTGATCGTCGAAGCAGCCGTACATTTGTGCAGTCCCTAATTACTTTCAGTGACCCGCGTGTGTGTGTGTGTGCATGTGAACATGCCTCCCCCGTGTACGTCGCCGTGACCTCAGTGTGACCGAGGTACCACTGCGTAGCCCAAGTTGTCGGGGTAATAAAATGTTGTATCCCTCGGCCATTCACCTACCATCCACCTAGTAGCGGGAAACTACAGCACCGTCCGTGACGTAATAAGTTGTCGCCACTTGCGTTGTATTTCTTCTTCTTCAGACAATCAAACCAGTGGTTATTTCTCAAGCAAAACCTTCAGCACTAATGACTCCCGCGTGTACTTATGAAATTACGCACAAGCGTATGTTGGCAGATACGGGTAATCTGGTTTTCACGTGTGGCGAAAATACGCAGCTGGGGGAATTTACAAAGAATGCCGATTGCGCACATATTTTGGGGTCTTCCTCCTCGCACTTTAGTTGCTTGTGAACGGAAATGCGTCACTTGCATTACCAACTTATCATGATGAATGATTACGTTGGGAAATTTCCAGGTGCTATAAGCACAGCTAGCCAGTTAGATACGCACAACTTCCCACTTCAAGCTGTAGGTCTTGAAAACGAAGCCAGACGGGCAAACAGAGGATAAGAAAACCAGCATTGTACATGTTCGACAATTTGAGGTTAGTTGAGGACCCTTTTGATTGGCATCTCTCTCGGCATAATTCCACTGCTAGATGCCTCGACTACAAGCCATTTGCTTGCTATTGGGATCTGGTAAATGTCGCTGAGTTTTGTGGAACCGACACGATAGGTGTAACAAGCTGTGAACATTTTGAGGTTCCGTGAGGATAAGTACGAGTGGACATGGTGAAATTCATCAAGAACTCCTGAAAGGTAGTCAGGTTGACTAGTGTTACGCTGTGACTATCTCAGACGAGGGATGCACATCAAAAGAATCTAGAATTATTTTTAAAAAAAAGTTTCACTACATCCACTTGTGGTTGTCTTCACCTAACATAACGTAGATCTTCAAATACTCTTTAAATTTAAGGAGGTGTCGACAATGACAACCATGTCACTCAAAACGGTACAACGAATTCCTTCTTCGCACACCATGAAGTTCACGTTCCCGTCTTGTTCACTGAATAACTATCAGATCTGCTCCATTCCACAAGCCCTTCAACACGGCCTCGTTTTGAGGTCTGCCCACATGCTCACACTGGTACCAGATTCACTACAAAGCGGGTATCGGAGAGCAGTTAGTGGTTGCGACGTCCTCGATAACCCCGGAAACCATCACCAGGCTTCAGCCGTCCGTGACAGCGAATGTGCAGCTGTCCATCACCAACCAAATACCAAAATGACATTTGGGTGCAACCAAGGCCAACCTGAGGCCATCCTATCTGTCGCATACTAAACTGCCTGTGGTTCTGTTTGGTCACACACATCGATATCTGATCCCCGATCACCTCCCGCAACGCATTCGCTGCCCGACGACTGCCTCCAACCCAGAAATCAATTGCTTCTACAGGATGTCGAGGACTGTCAGCACTGATTGTACCAATTTTCTTACTAGTTAACACGCAACACCATCGTGGTCTTGAGATCCGCCCGCATGTG